GTGGTTAAGGAAGTGACTTCTAGAGCAGAAATTTCCATAAAAGTAATGTAAAACTATTGAACAGCCTTACGTTGTTAACAGAATTAACAAAAGTAAGCACTGTCAATATGGACTGATCTGAGAAGACGCCCTAACTGCGGTGGCACCGCACTCACGTACATTCTTCAGCTTGATGCGCGTATACATTTGGCAATTTGTGACACCCTGTTGGTCAAAGAGGCATGTAATGCGCGCGTAACACCTTCCGTGAGCGTTGTGCCACCGCAGTAATGGCTTCTAATTCTGTTGGTCGAATTACACTTTACACTTAATTGCAAGGATGATGTCAGGAAATGGCCAACAATTTGCATTACTTACACACAAGGTACTCATGCTAATTCTTTGTAGGCTCCAGACAAACCCTAGGCATTGACAGCTTTGGCGTTTCCATAACAACCATGGAGGAAGTCTTCATGAAGGCCGGAGAGATGGCTGAGGACGTCAGCAGGAGAAATGGGGATGCAGCCGACCACCTTAAGAACGGGTTTGCCATCGACGTGTCCTCCACCGACCAGCTGACAAAGAGCACCGAAATTCCGACCAACTGCAGCTTGCCGAGCCAGTCCGTAGAGATGGGAGGTAGGTCTCTATTTGCATTGTGCTGTCAGTTGAGGGCGCCGTGCTGCAAGATCTGTGCATAATTAAAGGGCTTATTGCAGAGAAAAATTTAGCTGTTCCTGTTTATATTGTTTTCATTATAATTTTGTGCGTGTTTGGGTTTTTTTTTACTCCAACCTCTTCGATATATTTTGGGTACACGTTCTCTCATTTTGTGCGCCTCTTTTGAATCCGATCTCAATCTGGTTATATTCAGTCTTGGAATATTTATTGGCTCTCATTTGAAGATCTGTCTCAAAACTTTTTGTCTCAATGACGTCATCAGTGGACAAGTGATGACACTATAAAGTTGCTAATGGGTCATTTGAAACGTCAATGTATGCACATTGGGTCAGCCCTGGAAGGGCAGCCATACTCACCCACAAGCACTGAGCATGTTCCAACTGGCGTTACCTCAGGTGCCTAGTTCTTGCTTGACCTTTTTGAAATGGACTCAACGGACTCTTTCTCCCAGACCGTATTGCTGATTGTGTTTTCCACAGAGTTGCATTCTGGCATCCGCCTGAAGTACCACCAGTTTGCTGCGATATTTGTGAAGCGTTTCCTCTACAGCCGACGTGACAAGAAGTCACTGGTCACGCAGTTCCTCCTCCCCTTGCTCTTTGTGGTCTTTGGCCTCCTCATCATCAAGACGAGCGGTAACACTGTGAGCGACCCGCCCCGCGTCATGACCCTGGAGAACATCTCGCGCCATGACCCCTTTGTTGATGTCAAGCTCTTCTACGCCGACCTGCGCAACCTGAGCCGCAGCACCATCACCATCGATGGCAGCTCGGTGGAAATAAATGGGACCTCCTTCACTTTCAACGGCACGACAGTGACGTTTAACGGGACCACGGTCACCCTGAATGACACCATCATCGACATAAATTGGATGGACGTATTTGAGGTGAGACAGTTTGCACATTTTGTTATTCTCGGATATTGTTGAGAAGAGGTTACCCTTTTTAATTACAACGAGAAAAGATTTGGCTGAGTTTACAGGAGCTCTACATTCACTTAAATTAAGCTGCAGTGCTCTGGTAGAAGAAGCTTTAGAATTAAAGTTGTGTTGAGAAAATGCTTCAAATGCGTAGCAGTTTGGAAGTTTTGACACTATTATGGGAGAATTCTTCATACATGGGAAAACACTCTTTCTTAAACCTCATTCTAAAGCCTTTGCCAACTTGGTTTTATGGCCAGATCTTTTTAGCCTACATTTACCTTGTTAGCATACATTTGTGAGTGAATACTTCCTCTTTACACAGAGCTGCTAAGCATAGAAGTTTTATAACCGTAGATGATATTTGTTAGTAAGCGGAAACCAGTCAGGACCCAAAATGCCAGGCAGGTCACACTGCCTTATGGTGATTCTAGAGAGTGATTGTTAGCTTTGCCCGTTAACTTGCCAAAGCAACATATTTCACCAATATTTATTGGCTGATTTTTTTTCTTGTATGTTTGAAAGTACCTACCGAATGTCCTGGATCCACTGTCCATTACGTACATCAACGTGTCAGCTCCAGTAAGGTTTCTCATGCAGGATAACATGGGCGACCTCATTGAGGGAAACCCCATGTCCCAGGACCTAGACTGCTGTTCCTACCCAAACATGATCCTGAACGAAGGATGTGCAGATACTGTAAGTATTACGACATGGGTATTTCAGGGTTTGAATTTTGCACCAGACCACTAAACCTGAATTCAATGTTGGTCGTGTGCAGTCCTTTACCACACAAGGCCAGTGGTCCAATATTGTTGGACCAGTGGCATTTTGGCAACCCCACCCCCGCCAAAAAAGTGGGTACGAACCTTTTCAACAACACCCAGGCTTCTAGATACGTCTACAATGTTTATGTAATAGAAAAGACTTCAAAGCAGTCTTCAAATAGCTGCAATTTTGTCCAATTTTGCAGCTCTACAACAGTGGTGAGAAGAGCAAACTCTGTAAAGACGTGGAAGGCTTTGGTTACCATAGCTGCCTGTCCTGCCTTACCAGCACCTCGTAAGCAACTTTCTTTCATTTTGTGTTCTCAGATCTGGTGTAGCGTTGCAGAGTGCAGAAGTGAATACGTCACGCGCATGATTATGTGTGTGAAAGGCGTTAGCGCCCCAAATCAGTAGTGAACGAACATACGTGCATTCTGCATTCATTTGCAGCAAACTTCCAGGTTTAAATGATGTTCACATTTCAGTACTCCATAGTTTGGGCAAGATGGTTGGAACTGCGATTTTTTCAATTCAAATTTTGAAAACTCTTGAATATTTCCATCACTACAAACCGTCTCATATTTTTCACTCTACTTATTCTCATGGGATGCATGTCAAACTCTTTTTTTTCCCTTTATTTGTGGCATGGAAATTTTTAGTCGGTTTTCAGAGTTTGGGAATAGTGTAATTCCATATTTGCCTCATGGTATGTTGTTATTTTGTTCAACAGGTTTTATGAGAGGACAAACAGCAGTGATTCGAGGTACGTAGCTGCCAAGGCAACGTCTTTATCCTTGACAAAGGCACCACTGTCTTTGTTGTTTCATTATACTTGTTTGTGAGGAAGTACCATCTGACTCTTTGTAATAAAACTTTGAGAAATTGTCAAAGTATCAAAATCAATGTCAAAGGTCAAGGGAAGAATATTTATAGCGATATGGAGCAGTGTTTGATACTTAGATATATGCATATAATCTAAGTATTTTGTGTCTCCATAATTTGTTACAATAAATTGTGTCTCTTCATAAGTTATACTTTTTTGTCGCTAAAATGTAACTCTAATGTGGGAATTTTTTTATTCTGTACACGTTTTTGTATTATAAAGTTACGATCGTTTAATTCATAACTAACAAGTTCATGAGTGTTGGTTAAACAGTTGTTTGTCGAAAATATTTGTTGGTCAGTGACTATATGTAGATGACATTTTGCCTAGCCTTGATCTTTTTGTCGGCTTGAATGATTCGCAGTTATGATGCAGATGACACGTGCCCCATCGGTGCCAACCACACTGTCCTGATGGACGGTAACACATTCTTCCAGGAATACATACTGCGCCAGAGTGAGGACGACACAGCTTTCTTCGAGAAGTACGTGGCGGGGTTCACACTGACTGAAAATGGACCCAACCAAGTCCTTCTGACCGGCTGGTACAGCAACGAGGTGAGAAACCAGAAAAATGTCTTCGACCTGAATTGATGCAACTGCTTGAAATAGAATCAGTGACTCATCATTTCAAATGTCTAGCTGAAGAATGATATGCTGTCATCTTCAGAAATGATGCCTGTGTGCTCTTGCACGGTGCAGATTCCCACACCTTCCATTGCCGGTCACTCTGAAAGCTTTCTGCAGACATAGTCTGTACATTGGATCACTTTGAAGTACGGAAATTAACAAGGAGGGTGTAGGAATTGTCAATATCCAAATTACCTACTTCAACCTAATTGGGGGCATTTGGTCAAATTTTCACTTTAAAATATTAGATTTCAGATATTTACGTAAACAATATTTTGAATTGACTTCTCTGTTTCCCACAGGCTTACCACACATCCAGCGAGACGCTCAACACTATAGCCAATATCGTTCTCAAGTATTTTACCAACGATTCCTATGGTATAACCACCGTCAATCACCCGTTGCCCAACAGTGCAACCAACCAGGTGAGTGTATGGCAGAAGGCCACATTTACTCTGTCTGGGAGACAGGTGTGACCCCTTTCCCAATACACCTAAATAGCCAGTTGAAGGTGTGCATTGCCAATTTGCATGTTTCTACCAAAATTCCATCGAACATTCATAGTGGTTTTCTATGTTTCCCTCAGAAGCCACATAATTCTTCATCATCTCTGTGCAAACATCTTTAGGCAAAATTGAAAGACTTTTGCTGGAAAGAGAGTTTCTTCAGAAACACAGCGAACATCAAACTCGCTCTTGAGTTATGGTTGATGTCATTTGGAATTCGATTTTGGAAGTCTAAAATTACCTTTGTAATCCACCAAGTTATGTACCCTCATGTGTTACCGAAATCTATTCCAAACTAGCGCTCTTTGCAATATCTAGCATGCATTGTTGTAAACTGAGGTTTGGTCGGCCCTGGTTTTATTTCACAGGTTGAAAACGCTGCATTCAGTACGGATACCTTTACCTTGTCGCTCCTCGTCCTGTATGGTCTGTCCTTCCTGGCTGCAAGCTTCATTCATTTCATTGTCACTGAGAAACAGAGCAAGGTACAGAGAAAATAGTAACAGTAATGACCATTCATAAAGTGCAAAACATATCCACCCTGAAGGTGCCCAAGGCGCTGTTGTTATTTTCCCTGCTTATTGGGCCCACAACCTCTGAACATTCCTGAAACCATCTCAGCTCCCTAGGGAGTACACTAGCCCACTGCTGCCTTGTTGGCGTAACCGGCTAAAAATAACTTATCTAACCTCACAGGTACATGTAGCCATTTACTGGAGAGAGGTTCTTACGGATAAAGTGACTTGCCCAAGATTACAACGTGCTGCCACCAGCTGGATTCAAACCCCCAACCTTACGACCTGAAGCTACAAACCCTGACCACTAGGTCACATGCCCTACATGCATGTATATGCAAATATAAGAGGTTTTTTCCTTCTGATGCTGGAGAAGTTGGTTTGTGCGTTCGAAAATTGAGTAACGTGCCCCCTGACAAAAGCACCTACTGCTTAACTAAAAATAGATTCTGTTCTCCCACCCCATTCCCTCCCAGGCCAAGCATCTGCAGATGGTGAGTGGGCTTGATGGCTTCACCTACTGGATTGCCAACTTCTGCTGGGATGCCATCAACTATCTGCTGGTGTTCGTCTGCATCATCATCATCTTTGCTGCTTTTAACCTGAGTGCCTTCAGTGGGGAGAACTTGGGCACTGTGGCAGTCATGATGGTTAGTGGAAACTGTAAAAGATCAAATGAAAAAGAAAATGATTGAATGATTCTGATTGGATGTCCAGGTATCAAATGAATCTTCCTGCTTTTTGGATGAAAATTCTGAAATTAATAACTTGTGATTCTCTGAGCATAATTACCTGAGGTTAACCCATTGCTTACTTTACCACCCAAGTTTGCCCGGTCTGGTACTCCCTATCCAGTGGAATCAGAATACCCTCCCCCCCCACAACCAAAGAGGAGGCACTTCTTACCAATGGGAAGTGTTTTGTCTGAGCTCAAGCATGTGCCAGATGCATGTGCCAAGAATATACATTTCAACAGAAATCAGTCACACCTACTCTGGGCACCTGCGCGCTCAGCCTGAGTTCCCAGTAGTGGGACATCATCGTTACGTAAAAACACATCATCTGATTGTCCCTGAACCAAGCAAATGCTGTCTAAGTACTTTGTAGTTTCCCCGGCATCACAAGTCAATAAATAGAATGCAATGCTATGCAAAAAATGTGCCGCTGATTTCAAGAGGATAGTTCCATGGTTGCTGAGATTTGTGGCCTTTGAACAACATGTGACATTGTTCTTAATAAGTTAATAGACGAGGCAAACATTTTATTTTAATGGAAACTGTTAGAGTTTGGCTGCCTTTGTCACTATTCAGATTTTATAGTCTGACCCAGAGATCTTAACTTTACACTGTTAGGAGCAAGATTCTTCCATTTTGAATTAATCCAGTATCAAAGGTTTAAACACAGTGTAATATCCTGTCAGGATATCACTGAAGTTAGGGCATCTTCTCTCAAACTTAAACTGTGTCAAAGCCAAAGATATTGTACAAACATGGCTTCTTGAGCAGTCGTGCCTTCCACAGCACTGTTGTATGATTAAACTCGTTGGAGTGTTTCTTATCTTTGCAGTTGCTGTTTGGCTGGGCTGCTGTGCCGTTTGTCTACCTTCTCTCCTTCTTGTTCAAGACCCCTGTCACTGCATATGCGGTCACTGCTACTTTCCTGACACTAGTTGGAATGGTACGTTTTGAACCACTTCTGGTAATGAAACCAAGGATTCCTCAAAAATGACGTTTGACATTGTGCTCATTTCTGTTTCCTAAGATGAAGTTTTCTGTTGCTTGTAGTCATGAGAGATACCAAACCATCCGTTTTGAAACATGGGCATCATTTCTCCACAAACACCATACTGGTGAATGAAACAAAGATTCATGCATTATATGTACGTTGAGGAAAAAAAAGAATCCATCAGTCCTTTCAGACTTGGATTGATCCTTCATCCAATCATTGCCCTCCCCCCCTCATGCCCACAGTCCATGGTCATCACGGTGTTTGTGCTAGAACTCATCGGTGACTACGAGGACGAGTCGAAGATCGTGGATCACGTGTTCATGGCCCTGCCCACTCATTGCCTTGCGAGAGGGTTGATTCAGCTGTCCACCAACGTTGCAATTCGTGACACGTGTACCGCATCCGACCTGTAAGTCGCCACTCCTGGGCCATTGGACGCATGGTTACTCACATCAGCCCAATTTTCATGTTGCCTGATCAGTTGGGAGCATGTTTCATTTTTGTTATACATTCCCAAATCCTACATCTGTGTTTTATGTTAATAATTAAAACCAGTCACCTAGTTGGCAAACCTGCTTCAGTAAAACCACATTTATTTCATGTATGAGTTCGAGTGTGTCAGTGCCTTGGGTTGAATGTGCGTTGCATTCAATGGATACATTTTGAGTTTGTAGAATTTGGTGTGCTGTGTACAGTCTACAGGTGTCATGCCATCAGATTTTTGCTGTCACTGTCGCGGTGTTCCATTTGTTTACCTGAGGCGATGTTCTTCATTGAAACAACTGGCGCATGTGCTGTTTTTGTGCTATTTCTTGGGTTGTTTTGTTCCCGCAGGGATATGGAGCTTTGTGAATTAATCAACGTCACCTATGCTGCCAACAACTTGGACTGGAATGAGCCAGGCATTGGCCAACACGCCTTCTACCTAGCCATGGAAGGGATCATCTTCTTCACGCTGACTCTACTCCTGGAGGTATTGGCTTAAGAATGGATCGATCCTCTGTTCATAAACAAACCTGGTTACCATGGCAATGCTATCACTGGTCATGCGCAAGTGGCTCCTGCCAATAGAAGAAAGGACTGTTGCTACTGCCAATCTTAGCAACTGTGCCTTGACAGTGGCTCTGTGCAAGGCCCAAGCTCAAACTTTAAATGAAACGCTCAATCCAAACAGCACCATGAGCATTCTGTATTTCCCTATTTTCTGTGCTAAGAAATAAGTTCTGCATTTCGGTTCCTCAAAAATAGTTGCAGTATCCGGCCTTCTATTTTGAAGGAGATAAATTTATTATAAATTCTTGTGGGGAACCTCTTTTCAATAGTGTTATATGAGATTTCATTACAAATTCAGATTCATCACAAGCCATCCAATCACAGGTAACAACAGAAGATATTCAAATGAACCCTGACCCAAGTGTTCCTTTGTCACTGTTCACCATGTTATGTGTGACTTGAAAAGACTTGCCTGCAACACTGCTTGTCAGGTACAATCCAGCACCAGACTAAGAAGGATTATCCATTTTTCGACAACAATGTGGGTATGTGTTTCATAAACCCGAGTTGTGAGTGCAAAGTCAAGTTTACCCATGATGGAAGGTGGATTTCGGCCACAGAAATATAATCCTCTGTCAGAAGTGGACTCATCTTTAATTTTAAAATACATCAAGATTCTTTGTAAATGAAGGTCTGAAAGCTAATGATTGGAATAATGATGTTTTCCAGGAAGTCTTTGGTTTAATAGTTGTCAGTTACACTGTCTTTGACAATACTTTTATATTAATTTTGATCACAGGTTTTGCCATTACACTGATGTATATTCAAAGCAGTGTGTACTCAGTGCTTGTCCAAGAGCTTGTGAAAGGGCAAAATCTGTGATCAAAATTAACATCTACTCGATGCAAATACATCTTCAAATAGTTTTATTTGTGTTTTTCTATGCAGGCAAATTTCTTCATTCCTTCTCGTTCAGCTAAGTACCTCAAAGCACACAGCAGCGATGCCGAGGTAAGAAAACAATACAAATCAAAATGGAGGCTGATTGCTGACAGATGTAATCTCTTAATAAGCTTTTACTAGAGAAACCTGAGTTATAACCACGCGAAATGAACTCAAAGAACTATAAAATCTGCCGAGTTCCATACGATTTTCACATTCACCCCACGGTTTTTCAAATGTTGGTGACTGACTTTAGTCCTACATGTTTGTCAGTAATTTTATTATTCTCTCCCCAAATGAGAATAGTTTGGAGCTTCGTTACACAGTGTCTTGAATAAGAGAAGCCAAAGAACTTTGTGTGTCATGTGGCACTTTAGGTGTCCAGCTAGTTGAGAATTGTACGGTAGTAACAAAAGCTGCAGAAAATATTGAGGGGAAAAAATTGAGACATTTTTATGCATTTGTTTGCTTGTGGCCGTGTTCTTGCTCATCAAACACAGGACATTGATGTGGCCAATGAGAGGTCAAAGGTCGATGTCTTGAACCCTAAGCGCAGCGAGTTTGCCGTCATCTTGAAGAATCTCTCCAAGATGTACAGGAAGAAACGCTCACCTGCCGTGGACCAGCTCAGCCTGGCCATACCCAAAGGGGAGTGCTTTGGCCTGCTTGGTGTCAATGGTAAGCGCCCTCATCCTGAGGCCAAAGTCTTTGTCACCGTCAGTAGTGTACCGACTTGCTTACTGTAGAAAAATTGCTAAACAGCAGCAGGTGTCCCACTAAATGTTCGTGTGATCTCTTGTGCTGTTGACCGGTATGGTAACTAGCAGATTCCTGCTCAGGCATGAAATTTGCGAGGCAAATGCAGTTTGAGGATGGAACGGTACTCGTTCATTATAAAGCAGCTTCATTGTTGGTTTCCATCATGCCCCCAAGCTTTAGGTCAGTATCATCGAGCCATTGAACACAGAATACGTTTGCTTTGCAAGGAGACAATAGCTCGTCAGATGGGCTTCAGAATACTGGTAATTAAGGTCCGGGCAGGGTTTTCCCCTCTGAAAGGCAGTTTTAGAATAGTAACAAGTATGCGGTTTCGTGTTGCAATAAAAAATGGAACAGTCAAGGGAACTACTGTATGATCAAAAATTGGTTTTGAAAGCTTGTTGAGAGTTGAAATAAACTAGAGTTACTTTCCATTGTTCAGAACTGCATTAAAACAAAGAAATGTCCACGTTATTTTTGCAGAATGTGTCTGAGCCAGTTGTGTGGGCCGGTGGCTTTTTTAATAGTGTTATCAAAGTTTCTTTAATTAAATGAAATTATCTCGACATTAGAATGTAAAATTTGATTGTCTAAAATAATTGTCTCTGAAGGTGCGGGTAAGACTACCAGCTTTGGCATGTTGACCGGTGACCTGAGCTTAACCGCAGGCGAGGCATACATGGAAGGATACAGCATTCAGAAAAATCGTCGAAAGGTGAGTAAAGAGGGCAGTGTTTAAGCATCCTGGATCTATTGAAATATTTGTCAATCTTGTCATCAGAGACATTGAATTAGGCCGTCTGTAAGTTACGTCCTTGTACTATTGTGGTGAATGTTTGTTGATATTTTGTACTTTCGGTGTCCAGTGCCTTTACTATCTAGGGTTTTGAAGTCACCTTCCCGAATTCTTTAAAAGTTTCGTAATGTGCGGCGTTCCTGTGACTTTCTTTAAAAGTCTGTTACAGACTTGTCATATAGAATGTGAAGTGTCATGTAATCTGTAGATTTCAGGATCTCCATTGAAATCTAGTCAAAGCAAGGTGGAGGATGTTGAGATTTTGAAGAGTGAGGAAGTTGCTATATCAGATGATCGCACCTGTGCCATTGCATGTTGCACGATATTTTAAAGGAATGTTTTGTTTTTTACTTCACTGTGAACATCACATCACTGTTTCTCTTTTTGATTTCTTTATAATCGTTTTCCAGGTTAGAATTGTCAGTGACTTCAGTGGTACATGTAGATTCACGCATTTGGCGTTCATTTTAAGTGTCCTTTTTGACTGAATTTGTTAATATTTCCATTTACAGGCTCAACAGAGAATGGGATATTGCCCACAGGTGAGCATATTGTGTTTTCTTTTTATTTTCCATTTCTAATTTTGTTTTTTTTTCAAAGAAAGGTTAAGCTGAGTGACGTACAACGCAGTTCTGTGAAAAGAGAACTACACTAGCAAAATTCAAACCTTCAGGATCTGAATGCTTGCCGATTGATAATTTCTGAGATTTGAACTTACTCAAGTCGATATTTCTTTTGTGTGCAGTTTAACTGTTTCTCATCATTTCCTTGCAACTGTCACCACCAAATTTGAATTTTATCGAGCAAAGTGCTTCTTCCATTGAAGTTCTTGCCTTGAATTAATTTTCTACATCATATCTTTAACCAAACATCTCTATCAGTATGTTTAAATTATTTCTTTTTTACACTCTTTTTCTTGGTATTTACTTCAGTTTGATGCTCTGATTGAGCGACTGACAGGGCGTGAATTGCTGACCTTGTTTGCTCGCCTTCGAGGAATCCCCGGGCAGAATGTCAAGCCAGTGGTGAACAGCACCATCACCCACCTGAACCTAGACAACTGGGCTGACAAACTATGCGGGACTTACAGGTATTGTTTAAACTTCACCTGAGGCGATCTTTCCAGGCCTTTGTTTCTAAAAGAAGGCATACCGTTGGACTGAGTCTGGTGTGTATTTGCATTGGAGATCTCAATAAAAGCACTTGCCAACCATCTCCATTTCTGAAACACCTATTGAGTGATACTATTTATTGTATTTATTTATGTTTATTATTTTTTTCCCAGTGTATGCCCAAACAGTTTACTAGGACTGATTTCCCTGCAAACACTCATGAAAAGGGTACATGTACAATGAAAATCAAGCTTTAAAGTTAAACCCTTTCACGAATGTATACTAACGCTGTGCAGCAAAACACACGAAACATTAAGATTGATGAAATTTGATTAAAAACAAGGAACACGCTAAAAGCAAAATAAACAAACAAGAAGAAGTATTGCACTGCAACAATGACACTCATGCCTAATAAGGAAGATAACAAATCCTACACAATTGAACCTTATTTTTGTAAGAAAGGAGAATTTCCTTTCAGGACCTGGAAGGAAATTTAATTAAAAGCAACTTAGTCGCAGGACTCAGTCAAATTTACTTTTCCTCCCATTAAATTTGCAATCCATAAATGTTATGTACATGTACGGTTGACGAAGTTATAAGCCTCTTCTTTACTTGCATCAAAAGATGCAGTTGTAAATGTTAAGAGGTTTTTCAGTTGCAAGAATAAGATGCAGTTGTAGCCCGATATCAGTGAGGGCAGTTTAGCTTTATGTCTCTGTTGAGAACTACGCATTTCTGCATGTGCCACATGTACATGTATATTCTGATTATTTGTGAAGTTTCTTCAGAGCACAGGCAAACATGTGGTACAATATTTACAAATATCTCAAAGAGTTCTCTGAATTTATGGTTGTACTGTACCTGTTGTGGTGTAACACCTTAAAGATAAGAGTGTCAAATGTAACAACTGGTATTCAGGTGTCCCCCTTATGTAAGAGACTGGGTAACAGTAGGCCATTGTAAACTGTCATTTCTTTGTGATATACATTTTTGTTCTCCACTTGCCTCTGATGAACCAATCACAATGTGCGATCATTCCCTGCTTGGCATCAATTTGAAAAACCACCTTGACATTGGTTGTTTCTCCAGCGGAGGCAACAAGAGGAAGTTGAACACGGCCATAGCCATCGTGGGCAGCCCGCCCATCATTCTGCTGGACGAGCCCACGTCGGGCATGGACCCCAAGGCACGACGCCACCTGTGGGATGCCCTGACCATGATCATGAGAGACGGTCGTTCCATCGTCCTGACCTCGCACAGGTAAGGGATCACAAGACATAGGCAAGGGATCACCTCCAGCAGGTAAAGGATCACCTCACACCGGCAAGAAATCACCTTACACGATAAGGGATCACCTCATGCAGGTAGAAGTTCACTTCCCACAGATGAATATTTTCTACATCATCTTCTCTTTTATTCCATAGCATGGAGGAGTGCGAAGCGCTGTGCACACGTCTAGCCATCATGGTCAATGGACAGTTCAAATGTCTCGGCAGCACACAGCACCTGAAGAGCAGGTAAGGAGTGTGATCGACAGTAACAAGCAAAGGAGAAACATCGGTGGATTCCTAAAAAAATTCAGCCTCCTGTTAGCATTCCTACTTAGCTTTTAACCCCTTACATCATCCCTTGAAATTCCTAGAAAACTATTGTGACCCTCTTCACTAATTCTTCTGTGGCAACATGTGTGGGTAAATGGCAGTTTTTTGCCACGTTGTCCTGTTTGCAACGAAAATAGGACCTGACACTTACGCCCCCCCCACTATGGTCACCTGTAAACCCCTACACAATTCGGTTCAGGTTTGGGACAGGCTACACCATGATGATCAAAGTGGGGCCCAACGCCAATCTGCAGATGGTCAAGAATTTTGTCCAGTCGGTCTTTTATGGTGCTGTGCTTTTGGAGGAGCATCAGGTAAGCCCTGGGCCATTCCAGTCCATAAAATGGGTGGGCTTTTAATGATATGCTCACTTCTCTGCTGTTTGCTTTTACCGGATTTGTCTACTGTTTCTCATCATCCTGCAGGTGTTCTGATTTTTAGTTAATTTACCTGTACTGTAACAGCACTGAATTGTTTAGGCCCTTGAGGTTCCACACAAATAGTATGAAACAGATTATGCCTAGTAAATGTATACATATAGATGTGTTTTCAACATGTTACTAAAAAACGCATATTAGCCTGTTCCTTTGTAGTTCAGGGTGGAGAGGAGACTTTTGCTGTGAAATGATGTAACTCAGGAACAGTGCTCGTAGTTCAGTGTGAAGCTGCAGTTATGCTGGCTATCAAGTTATAGTGGTTACAGACACTATTACCTCTGGGTCTCAGTGTGGTGTTGACATTGATGACAACCACTGCCTTCTTTGTCGCTGTCCAGGGTTTACTGCATTATCAAGTCAATAATGATCAGCTGAGTTGGTCCTACATCTTCGGTACCCTGGAGGACAGCTGCATTGGCTTGGATATTGTAGATTACAGCGTCAGTCAGACTACCCTAGAGCAGGTAGGCCACATAGCTAAAAGTAGGTGCCGATATCCTACATCTGGACCAATACACTGAGTTGTTATTGGTGCTTTTCCATATGACCATCTATTAGTGCACATCAGGGGTTTTTCAAAATCTCAGCTTCATCTCCGGCTGTGCCTCATGTATTACTTTCCCCTCGACTTTGCTGCGTAAAAAAGGCACATTTTGCTGGTGGAGCACTGATTTGTTTTTGAGCCAATAGTTGGAGTACTTTATTTGTTTTGAGCATGATTGACCTAGAAATGATCCAGGTTTCTGAGACTTCTGCCCGCATATTATTGGACACAGAGCCAAGATTTGCCAAAAACTCCAATTTCACCAAAATGGTCTACATTGCACAGAGATCAATAGTCACATTACTCTGGATGCATATTTATGAATCCTTCTGTCATCCCTCTTTGTCTTTGTAGGTGTTTCTGAATTTTGCCAAGATGCAGCATGCAGAGGGCGTCACATTGACTACTGGTCGACAGCAGCAGCCCCCTGCACCTTACAATGACCCCAGCGTGAACCTGCCAATCCCAGCTGTCAATACATAGGTCGATGATGTATACACCCACCCACTGAGAGCTTATGAACACTGATTCAGAACTGGAATCCAATTTGGGACGTGAACCCATCTCTGAATAGGAATGCAGCAAGCGCAGGTACTCATCGGTCATCCCACGTTAGTCACTCATGTAAGAGACCTTAGCGGTCAATGTGGAGTTAGTGGGTAGTTGACAGGATACCAAATGAGATTCCCAAACCCATTGTGAATATGTCTAGTATTCTTCCTGTGAGTAGTCTTTTATTCGGTCTTTTTTACATTCCAAACATAGAGAATGTGTTCAGTAACCTACTCATTTTACACTGATTACCCCCTCAAGATGCTGGCAGCCATTTTGTGAGTGGACCCAAATACAAAGATATGCCTGCTTGGCAGTACATTAATTGGCAGTTCGAAGTTGGTACTACATTTGAAATTAAGTGGTGGACTATCTTTTTAAGAAAAAAATTAAATGATTTCCCAGAACAGGTGAACAAGATTATCTCAGAAAATTGTGTGTTGTCAGTGATGCTTACTCCCTCTTTAATGGTGTAACTCTGAGCATTCATACAGGTACATCTTGGAAATGAGAACTTCTTTTCATACAAAATAATCACAAAAATTAAAAGTTATAGGCCTCAGCTACTGAGCTGATGGCATTTCGATAGGCTGACTTAAAGAAAAAAAGATGATTAAGTGTCTGTGGTGTTTTGTCTTAGTCCAAAGCCATAAACGATGAACTTCTTCACATAATCAATGTGTGTGTCGTAGCTTGCACAAAAGAATGTGTAACTTTTTTACTCACTATATATTTCTTAATGTATGCAGTATTGTAGAAACACTGAGGTATTTATGACACAAATGCAATGTATTTTTGCTGAAGCAAGAGTTTATAACTATATTTTCATTCAATTGAGTGGTGGTATGTTAATTTGAAATCCGTAATTCAGGGCATGATGCCAAATTACAAGTGATGTTGAAACTTTCCAAACAGTTGTGAAAATAGATAATTCGTATGAATTGGAAGGAAACAAAAATACCCATTTTGAAGGTACTTCAAACGAAAGCATTTTAACATTTCCTGTTGTATAACCTAATGATGACTATTGTAATTTGTGACATCTTGGGGTAAGACTTACTTGGGCCAATTTTTATCGGAGGGGAAGACTTACTTGGGCCAATTTTTATC